TGGACCACCAGTGAGTTCAGGAAGCGGTGGTCAACAACCACAACTTGTGGTAATGCTAGAGCCTTCTGGCCCAGAGTGAACCGCAAGAGGTCTTCCGAGCTACTGGCTCTTAACAAAGTCAATCTCGACACAATTGTAGGTGTTCTGACTGGACACTGTCCAAAAGGTTCACACGTCATGCGACTAAAACTTTATTGAACGCCAAAGCTGTATGGTGGAAGGCGAGATGGAATCATCTTATCACTTCCTCTTCTATTGCCCGGAATTCGCTAGACTGGGATTGAAACACCTCGGTAGTCACATCGTTGGCGAACCTAGCGAAGTTGTTGAAATTGATATTAAACGCATCGTTGATCTATGAGGATCTGGTATTCACTTTTAGGAGCTCATGAGTAACACAAAGAACAAATATCTGTCCAAGTTATATTCATGGATTTTGAAATAAACTTACGACCTAACCTAACCTATTGGAAATATTGGGAAATATCTTAACATTAAATTTTTTAAGGATCTTTAGGAAAATTCACGCATACGTTCTCTGGATTCTTCCTTTGACTGGGAACTCTGAGTTTATGATAACATACTTAGCTTGTAAAAAGATGAAGAATGGAGAATTTTCGAAATTCGCCAAATCCACGAAAATAGTGAGAATTTTTTCACCGATTCGCAGAACCCACTCATACACCCCAGCTGTTTATAAGAGGTGGTTTGAACCGTTATTACCATAATGTAAATAGTTAAGTCACTATGTTGATTATGTTAGATCTTCCAAATAGATGGAAGCGCTCTGACACTCAAAGGTGCTCGATAAGGCTTAGTAGTAAAGAAAAAGATTGGCACATACCTTCGAAAAAAAACCAGGTTTGAGACGTTATTGCTATTGTAGCGACAATGCTTGGTTAGTAAAAAATTGGGGGTTGTTTCGGTTACATAGAGCTGACTGTCCTGAAAAACGAAAAGATTTTAGACGTACTTACTTTCGCTCGGTGTTTGGAATTGAAGCCCACTTATGAAAGGTTAAGTCAGTTAAAATAAACTTTTTTTACCTAACTAGTTATATTCTGAACAAAGTATATTAAGTTTTCCTCGAAGTTTGTAACATCCTGGAGGGAACGTTGGAGATCATGTAAAATAGATATATGATCAGTGTGACGGCGATTAGCCATGGCCGTCTGTATGTCCGTCTGTTGCGAACTAGTCAATCAGTGTTTTAGATATCGATCTGAAACTATTCACACAGCGTTTGCTCCCCAAGAAGTTGCTAATTTGCCGGAATTGGACCACTGGAGCATATAGGTGCCATAGAAATTGATCAATCAAAATCAAGATTTTCTATAAAAGAGGTAAATTCACGAAATTCGGCATCGCTTATTGTCCACGACAACTCTGAAATCGCCGAATAAATTTTACAGATTGGACCATTATAGCATATAGCTATCATACAAACTGACCGATTAAAATAAAGTTCTTGTATTGAAACTTCTTTGTTTGTAAAGGGTGTTGTAGCTTCGGTACAACAGAAGTTAACCTTTTTTGTTATTATTTAGTAAGATTATAAAGAAAACATTTTTCTTAAAGGTGTAAAAATATTCCTCTATAATCAGCTTATTACTTTTGTAATGCAAATAAAATATACCGCATTTTCAAAAATCTGCTTAAAATGTTATTTTCTTGGCTTAAGGTTCATTAAAGTTCATATTTCGGGAAGATGTCACCATATAAACGACACATTTGGCTAATCGCCAAGTAATTAATTCATGATTTATATGTAGTTTAGCTATTTTCTTTTGAAGTGTGCATAAAACACCGAAGTATGCAAACAAAATTTTGCATATAAAAGCAATTTATATACTTTTTTACATTTTATTTAATAGTTTTCCAGCAAAACTACGCAATTTTCGTTTGCTAAAAGCCCAAACATTATCTGCCAGCATTTTCCGGCATTTAAACGTAACGTTTAAACGTTCACATATTCATAGAAACACTTATTTATATATACTTATAGGTATATATGAGCATGTGTGCGTTTTAGCTAAATTTTTGTTTTAATTCACATCTGAAAATATTTTTATTACAATTATAACTTTAAAAGAATGAAAAACGACTTGTAACTGGCGCCTACAGTCGATTGATTTATCGACAGAGCGATTATTTTTGTACGCACATGTCTCTATTTATTTGTATAAATAATACTGTGCTTTGAAATATTGTTTTCTACTTGAAAAGTTAAATTCATTTGGTACTTTTTTCGTGCTCTGGCATGTTAATTCAAATATTCTAAAAACAAAATTTTAAATGCCATTAATATGCATATTTTATGGCTGCTTTGTACAATTGAAATTACTAGTAATTTATGCGCGCATTTATTAGGCAACGTCATGTGAATGCATTTTCACGCGTGCCAACATGCGGTCGAATGCAGCGTATGCTTTTGTTTAAATGCTCACAAATGGTCTATATTTGTGGAAAATCCTTGTCCTCAGGTATAATTTATTACACAGCTCAAGTGTCTAAACAAATTTTGTTTTTGTGATATTTGCGTTGCATTGAAGAAAAATTAAAATATTGTTATTTGGATTAAATTTACTTTTGAATTTTGTGACTCATACAACAACAAGAGTTCAAGTAAGTAAACCATTAAAACGTGCATTGCGCAATTTTGAGATAATTAGCTGTTGCACACAACTGCCACAGCGGAGTGTGCCAAGTGCGTAGCAAATTTTCGATAGGTCGTGTGTTCAATTTCTAAATATACAAATTAAAATTGATAGAAATCACTAAAACGTCTAAAATTGTTTACATGAAAAAGTTTTTACATACATATCATAAAATTTATTGGCGCATAGAGTGTGTGAATATCGCAAAATTTTACTGATTTAACATATAAGCATAATAATTTAAGCAAAGTAAATATACAGTGTTGAAATTAGATTTATAAGTTTATGTTTACGACTAGAGAAGAGTAGTGTATGTAAATGGATTTATTTGATATCAAAAGCTGACATGCAAAATTTATTTCAAAATGAGATGATCTCGTCACTTTCGTCTACAACAGGGTTAATGTTGTTTCTAACTGATCTTCAGTTAATTTATCGCCTCAAGTTCAAAACAATTTTTTTTTATTATAATTTAAAAACCGAGTTAATTTAGCAAATAAGATGAACAGTTTTGAATACAAAAGGCAAAAATTCAACTAATAAAAAAGAAATTGAGATTAAATTTGATTTTTGATTTTTCTACAAATTACATAATTTTAAACCAGAGTTGATTTTTCTAAATTAGGACAACAATTTTATTTACAAAAGGCACAAATTAAAATCGTAATAAATAAACTAAGTTTGAAAAATTTTTTTTTCTATAAGTCGTATAATTTTAAATCTGAGTTAATTTTTCTAAATAAAGATGTAGCAATTTTGAACACAAAAAGCAAAAATCCAAGAACCAGACAATTTCCCAAACAAATTGGTCTCTGAGACCAAAAATCCTAACTAGTGAAATATGTTTAAATCTAATTAACTCTAAATAAAAAAAATTAAATCTTCATGGTTTACATTCAGTTAATAATTCTTTGCAGATTTCTATTAGTAGATTCTTAATTTTTTGTAATTTGTGAACAAAAAAACTACGAAAATTAGTTTCTTATAAAATGTGTACGATATGTGATTATTTATTTTTCTTCAACAATCGAAAACTTTTAATAAAAAATATGTGCATATATTTGCGAATATTCTCCGAAAAGTTGATCCGGCAAATAATTCCGAGGATATGAGCTAAACCTTTTTAGATATATAATATTTGTCAGTAACAGAAGATTTTTGATAATAATTTAGATTTTTAAGCTACTTAGAAATGTAAATTTTTTCACAAAAATCGTCTTATTTTCATTATGTCATATATTAATATATTTAAATTTTACCAGTCCTTCGATCATTATGATTGAAGAGACCAATTTAACATTCGGAGCAAAAACTAATATTTTTCCTAAGACTATTATATATATATCTAAATTAACACAAAATTGCAAAATTGTGTGTCTCATAAAGTTTACAAATTAGTGTATTTTACGAATAAGTTTAATAAGTATTATATATATATTTTTAATGCATGTTTTTTGTTTCTATTTCATTAATTTTTTTAATTTTATGTCTTAACAAATTTATAAATTTATACGAATTTTGATATTCAAATAATAATTTTTATATTCAAAATATAGCAATAATAATTTACTTACCAATATATAAATAATTATCTTTTTAGAAACTGCTATCTGTTAAACAATTTATAAATTTTTCCGATGAAATTTTAACCTTTTTTTTTTTGACAATAATAATTTTATTTCTAATAAATAACACCGTATTTGTATATGTAATTACGTTTTGAGCTTTATGTGTGTAATAAAAAGTAATATTTGCAAGAAATGTATCGATTAATTTTGATGTCGAAAATATAACTCATGTACGTATTTAAAATGTTTGTGGCACTTTTCCTCAAATATCAAACAGTTTGAGAAAATATATTTTGTGACAAATATACATATGTACGTATATATACGCATACATATACACGCGCACTTTACTCCCACTCAAATGACATTGATTGCTGTCGCCAAAAATTTAGCGGTCAAAAAAATTTATAACACCGCATAAATTTTTTTTATAATTAAACTATAGCGCCAACAGCACTATAAGCGCGACTAATGTCATACGAAAAAAATAATATTTAACTTTCATATGTGACCCATAACAGCACACAGGCGCCACTATTTTGATTGTCAATTCATAATAGTATCGAAACACTCGACAACTAATTTTCACACGCGCATAATAGAAAAATATTAAAAACACGACACGCGTCACACAAAAAACTTAAATATTTATATACTCGTGTACTCGTATACTCTACATAAATATACATATGCTTTAAACAAATTTATAAAAGGCGAATAATTGTTTAAGAAACCTAATTTCAAATACTTTTATCGAACGTTATACTCGGCGTAGCGGTTAAAGACTGAGCTAATATCCGTGGAAAGAACTAAAAGCGAGCGCGATCCAATTGAAGTGACTACTAGCCAAAAGCAGCAAAGAGCAACAAAATCTAATGAGCTCATACGAATGAATGGGAGAGCGCACTGATCGGCAGTGATGTCGCTGATGTGCAAGGTGATTTCTTGTGTAGATGTCTTTTAAATATACAAAAATATGTTAATTCTTAAACGTACACATGTGTGTGTGTGTGTGTATTCATATACATATGCATATGTATGTATATTAAGGTTTTTTTAATAATCATTGGAAACGGATAATTGTTTATGAACACGTTTGAAAGACAAACTTTTTAATCTCTGCCATTTTGTGAGAACTTAAACTCTTTTTGGATCCTATCCTATATATTCATACAATGCTGTATCTTAGAATATTTTGTTTCTGTATGCTTAAACTTTAATTCTCAGTTTCCATTTCCTGTTCCGGTCGCACAAATAGGCTTTGAATTAATAAATTCACAATAAGTGGCAGTACCGATTTGTATTTTCTTTTGTCTTGCTATTTGCTTCTAGTTTTCATTTTATCAGCTGTCATTGTAAGAGATAGCGATACTCATTTCTTATCTTTTTTTATCGAGCATAGATTAGTGCTGTTTTCACTTCACAAACTAAATTGTATTAAAAATATAGTATAGTATATATAAAATATTTAAAGAAAACTTTTAACAGAATATATAATATGGGATTACGCTTTAGGTAGATAAATCAAGGAAATTAATATGTATATCGATTATTGAACCTTATTTTGCATCACTATTAAAGAAATATACAAAACAACAAAAGAATAATCTCTATGATCAAGTTTGTTTTTGTAAGCATTTCTCAAACAAAATTTCACAATTACAGTGCGTAGCTTTCAGTGCGGTTTCTTAATAAAGTGTAAGCTTAAAAATGGCTACAAAATATGCTGTTCTGGCCCGTACATCACGTTTACAATCGGTTGCACCAGTTGACGAGCTGGAAGAAGCTTCAATCGAGTTGCAGAATTTCACAGTTGCTGCTGGCACACTGATAAAAATTGCATCTGAGCAATCCGCTACAGCGCACAACTTACAGGTGTTTGTTTATGATCCAGTGCTGCGTGAACCCAATACAATGCACATATATCAATGTACGCAAGATTGTTTATTGCCCGTGTCTGATGATTTGTGGCCATTTATCGTCAGTATACCAGAACCTAACCGTCGCTTGCAACTTTTACACGATGAAAGTCGTTGTAACTGGCTATATACCGCAATGCCAGGTGATTTAGTTAGTGTGCCGGGTCGTTACTTTGATAGCGACGATGTTAGGCTTTATGATTGTATGATTTGTTATATTGGTCCAGTACCGGAAATACATCCAGTTGGTTATTTCTTTGGCTTGGAATTGCTGGTTAGTTCACAGAAAAGGCTAAATTAATTTTATATTTATTATATACATATTTCAGGACGATGTTCAATCTCCACAAACTGCTGATGTATATTTTACAAGAAAATATTTCGAATGCGATGCAGAGGGGGCAATATTTATTACGGCTGATCGCATAGTACCTACACCATCATCTCAAGTTGAAGAAGTCGAGCATGCAAATGAAGCGCCAGAAAGTAGCTGGTCTATAACTAATTTTATACAAAATACAGTAGATAGTATTCGTGCATCGCTGCCATTATAGATGAGTGATAGCATTAAATTAATAACTGAGAAATTTTTTTTATTCAAAATACATACCTATAAGCAGCTATGATAGGTGATATTCAGAGGAGATATTTTATGTAATTTCATCATTTTTGACTTCATAATACTATATTTAATTTCGTATATAAATATGAATGACTACTTATTTTGTACATATCTACATATATATACATATAAGAATATTTTGAATTTCGTAATTAAAAATTTATTTGAAATTGTTACATAAATAATACATACATATGTACATAGATTTTTATATGTTATTTAATGCCTCAATAGAAATTCATAACCTTTTTTTTTTGCTTTCTACTGTTAATCGCCACTAGCAATTACTTCTTCTCTGGCTCCTTATTCGATTTTGATGGCTGGTTGGATTTTTTAACCTTTTCTACATCTTTTATTGCTTCCATCTGCGCCTCCCACTCCTTTATTTCCATTGGTATATCCTTTGGTTGGAATTCGATATCCGGTTTAAATGATTTTAACTTAATATGATCTTTTTCAAGTATCTTGCCAGCATGAAAATGTTTATGTCGATTCCCAATTGTATCTCGTATACCCACTTCCTTATTATCCATATATACATCTGCCCACAATTCCTCCTTTTTTACTTCATTGGATTTTTTTGCTTTTTCGGCTGCTTCATCAATGTTCTTTCGAATGTCCTCGTCTATTTTCTAAACAGCATACAAAAAATTATACATATGTAATATATGTATGTAAGATTTAACACATAATCAAAAATACTTTGCACTGATCCTCAGTTAATAAGCCATGCGAGATAGTTAATTCCTTGAAATAAGTAATTGGATCACGTTTACTACGCACTTCTGCAACCTCATCGCGTGTACGGTAGCTTGTACCTGGATCCGACATTGAATGACCGAAATATCGATATGTATGCGCTTCTATGATAATTGGTCCTTCTTTTTGTACAAAGCCAATAGCGAACTCGGCAGCATTGTGCATTGCCAAAATATTCATACCATCGACGTAAATGCCAGGCAATGGCACACCACGTGTGTAATATTCAATAGAACACGAAGAACGATGCATTTTTGTGCCCATACCTATAGCAAATCATCATGATAATTAAGACATGTATATTTTTACCATTTACCACCTACCGTATTCATTATTTTCACAAACAAAAATCACCGGCAAACGCCAAAGACACGCTATATTATATGCTTCAAATATTTGTCCTTGGTTGGCGGCACCATCACCATACAAAGCCACACAAACATTGCCCTTCGCTTCATTTTTCAATGCAAGACCAATACCAGCGCCCAACGGCACCTATTGCATTAAAAAGTAATATATATTAAACGCTAGTACAAAAATACATTTTCCCACTTGCCTGTGCACCCACAATGCCATTACCACCATAAAATCTTTTATTGTACATATGCATGGAGCCGCCTTTACCACGCTGACAGCCCGCCTCACGTCCAGCCAATTCGGAGAGTATTTCCATTGGCTTGAGACCCATCAAATAGCACCAACCATGGCAACGATATGCCGTAATAAGGTGATCCGTCGGACGCATTGCAGCATGTATACCTTTTAGGAGCGGAAAATCGTAAGGTTTTTTAAATTCTTTAAACGCAATCATTTATTTACCTACCCACACAAACAGCTTCCTGTCCGGTATAAAGGTGGCAAAAGCCGCGCACGAGTTTTGCCTTATACATAGCATTGGCAACAGTTTCCAAACGTCGTATGGTGCTCATATGCGTATACATGCGTTCTGCTTGTTCCTTATTTAAAGTAATGGTTTTAGATGGAAATGTTTCCAAACGTATGCATTTGAAAGTCTTAAATATTATTTTATGATCAATAAGTATAAAAAATCACATAATTTTTTTTTTGTTTTTTTGCTACATACATCAGGGATTTCGATAGTTGCTTCGCTAGCATAGTTGTGGTGCGGTGAGTCCCTTTGCTCTTCGAATTCTTTGTAGAACCAACGAAATAATCGTAAATCATAAGACCAATTCTTCAGCGATTGTCTGACTCTTGCACGCGAAACAGTAGCCAACATGTTCAAAGTAAAAGTAATTGTTTTAACAATATTTGAGTAAATTTTTTTTAAACAAATATTTGTGCAAATTAGCGTAAAAGTTTACAAATAAAAGTAAACATATATTTGAAGGTTTGAGATTTTTGAAAATATGCCGAAATTGCCAACAGATTTTTTGTTTATTGAATCTGTCTTATTTGCTTTTGTTAAGTATACTTAAAAGTAGACTCTTCATTTTATAAATAATATACTTCCATTAATTTTGGAAAAAATGCACATTGAATAGGAAACAAGAGTTTTCTAATTTTAAAAGTAACAGTTTTGTTACATCAAGGCGTGAATATGTCATTTGATCTATGTAAAAGCTACGTACTAACAAAAACCAATGACGTAAAGCAACAATGCAAAAATGATTAAAGGCGCGAAATAATGATGTGTTTACCCATGAAATATAAACAAAAAAATGTTTTTATATTTTGTACATATTTTCAATTTTATTTCGTTAATTTTTTGCAACTTTAGTTAAACTTCTTGCCAATAATGCTAATTGCATTTTTATACTTAAGTATCTTATTTGTTCAAAAATATATAACAACTCCGCTTTTATGGACAGTTATGATAAATATACAATGATATTTACAAAAACAAAATTAAAATAAATGTACCATATTAAGTATTTTAGCTATGTATGCATTGAATAATTTGAAGTGTTTACAACAAAAAATATCGAATATATTATATCTAACTATCCCGTTAGATAATTACTATGCAAGTTATTCGGCGCACTTTTTACTTAAGGTTACAAGAACACGTTGGTTGCTTAAACTTCGTTTTACAATTTTTTAGTTTTTTTTTTTGCTACTTCAAATGTTAATGGCTTAGTGGTTGACGCCTTTGCGTTGGGAAATATGCGCAATGTTATAGCTGCTAAGACCACGTATCTTTGGTTCCAAATTGCTTGAATAAACGTCAGTCCACAGACCGGTTACAGGCAGTTCTTTATCATTCTTAGCGACTTGTGTAGCTTCGTCGATTTCCTTACGCACCCTAGTATCAATTTCCTATAAAGAAAAATTAAATTTAATACATGTACTTTTCGTACAATTTCTTTACAGGATGCAACCAGAATATACACCCAAATGCAAACTAATCGTCGTA